AAGATACAGATGCCCTCTGTCTGTGTCTGTGCTGAAGTAGAGAAAGAGCCCTAAGTTGACAGGTAGAGCTAGAGAAGGCATCAACTTGGCCTGGAGACTGAGGCTCACACTGCAGTTGCCATCTCCCTGGGGTAGGCTGTAGCTCCATGGTAGAGTAGAGGGTAGGCTTTGGAGCTGGTACGTATGGATTTGATTCCAGACTTAGCCACTAGGTAGTTATTTGATCTTGGCCAAGTCCTTTAACTAGAATTTCCACACTAGGGTAGAGTCAGATATCTATCTTGAGAATTAGGTGGAGTATCTAGAGTTCCAGCTCTAATAGTAGCTCTTACCTGTCTTACATTCATATCAGACTTGATACTCTAAGCTTTGTTCTCCATTGGTGACATTCTCACTATTCATTCATTCAATGTACAGTCTAGTCTAAAATTATCCAGTGAGAGAATCCAGAATTTTGAGATGATACGTGGAGTTATCCAACAGGTTTCTCAGTAATCAGTAATTAAAAATTTTATAGTATATTAAATATTATCCTAGATAAACTGGTCATAGAGATGAATAGAATATTTTAACCTGTCAGGAACACACTAACTAAACGGGTCCCAGAAAAGACTGAAATTTTAATTCTAAAGGAAGATATTTTTTGGCCTGTTTGTGGTTGCCCTGGCAGCAGAACACATTTACCCATGACATTGAGCTAGACGAATAGTCAGGAATTCCCTCTGAGTTCCATATCAGATTGTTATCAAAGAAACAAACAAAGACATCAAAATGATGGGAATTCTAATTAATCCTGGCTTCATAGCTCGTGTTATTTGAGAGGGCAACAGAGTCCGTATTTTCAACAAATTGCCTGTTGCTTCCGGCCAGGCTGACTCCTGAGCTTGCTGGGAACGATTAAACAGACCTTCTGACACCACTTGTCAATTTTAAATTTAGTTTCGGTCCTTTTTGTTTCCCTTCTCCTCTCTGTAATTCTCATAATACCAAAAAATATTACATATTTGGTGTCAGTGTTATCTCCTCAGGGCTTGTTTTGTTTCAGTTCTAGAAATACTTAATTTCAGCTCAGTTACTTCCCATTGCGGCTCCAACCCAACACGGTTAAGGCTCCAGTGCCACGTCAACCTGCCTCTTTCTATCCCATATCCTACAGTTACGTGAATAGTTATTAGGCCTAAAATCTGGTCTTCTTTGTATAGAAAAGAGTTAAAATTATTGTGCATGTATTTATTTCACTAACATAAAGGGTCTTAACTATTTTTTTTTCTCTCTCATAACACTCCCAGAAAACCTTCTCTTTAGATAGTAAGAAAGTAATTCTTGGAATAAAAGTGTAGTCATTTTTCAGTGAACTTTTAAAATTAGTATTGCAGTTCTTTAACCGCATACATTTACATCTTGCTGATATATTTTTTCAAGCAACTAGTTCCTATAATTTCACATCACGTTTATTGCCTGTAGCTGACTTGTCGTTTCTCATTACAAACCAGCTCTTAGAGATCTGAGCCAATTATCTGATGATTTAGGCTCTGAAACTCATTTTATTAGAAAGAGTGGAGGACTTGAAATAAGAAAACCTGTGCATACGTCCCATCTTTGTACTTTAATGTCCATTTGATATCTAGCAAGTCATTCGAACTCCATATTACTATATGTGAGATGAAAGTCTTGAAATCGCATCCGGGTTATCAACCGCTTTGTAACAAACTACTCCAAAACTTAATGACTTAAAACAACCATCTTGTTTTGCTCACAATTTTGTGAGTTAGGAATCCAAGAGGAGATCAGCTGGTCGGTTTGTTTCTGATCTACATGGCATCAAGTAAGGTGCCTGGGATTAGAGAATCTACTTCTAAAATGGCTTCTTCACTAACTCATCTTTGCCTTGTTGCTCCTTGGCTGCTCTCTGTATCCACATGGCATCCCATCCTCCAGCACCTCTGCTTAAACCTTAGGTTTCTTATAGTGTGGTTTCTTGAGAGTAGGTGTATTTTTGACATGGCAGCTGGCTTCCAAGAAGAAGGAAGCAAAAGATGCTAGGCCAGTTAAGGGCTATATCCCAGACTGTCACAGCCTCACTTCTGCTGTGTTCTGTTATTCAAAGCAATCACAGAACTCACCCAGATCCAAGGCCAGGGAGAGAGACGCCACCTCTTGGCAAGGGAATGGCGAGGTCACATGGCAGATGAGCATGTGGGATACACCCGTAAATATTGAACTGGCTCTCTTGGAAAAAGTGTATGCATTGTAAATGTTATTAAATATGAAGGATGTAATCTACAGCCATGCTACCCTGAACACACCTGATCCTGTCTGATCTCGGAAGCTAAGCAGGGTTGGGCCTGGTTAGTACTTGGATGGGAGACCACCTAGGAAGACCAGGTACTGTAGGCGTAAAAAAAAAAAAGAATGAATGAATGAATATGAAAGATGTGTAGCACACAATTTACAATTAAAAATAAACTATATAATACTCTTTTTTGTAGATTCCATTTCCCAACTGATTCTCAAAGAATGCTTTCATTGATTTTTGCCACAATCTTAGATCAGTAGCCAAGCTACTATTAAGGACTTTGCCTTATTTGTCTTTGAGTCTTCTTTTGTGACATTATTTGTTGTACTTAGTAGACTCTCTATAAATAAAAATGCAAGAATTGTTAGCCACAGTCACAAACTAAAATTTAATTCATTTTTTTCAAAAGCTTCAGAATAATGACATTTTATTGAATACTTACAGTGTACAAAGCACTTTCAAATATGTTCTTAATTGATTCTTATAATGTTGTGAGGAATTTTTAGCCCCATTTTCCAGAAGGAAAACAGGTTTTGGAGCAAAGTAACTCACTGGGGGTAGCACTGCTGCTGAAGGCATAGGTAAGACTAAGACTAGGATCTATGACTTCTGACTCTGAGTGGACCACTTTCCATTTGCTCTGCTGAAACCTTACATTCAGAGGAGAAATTTAAAATGAACATAGATTTGTACTTCTTTAACCCTTCACTGCTTTCTCCCAGCCTCCCACCTGCCTCCCCTCTGGCCATCACCCAGCTGTCCTCTATATTTGTGGTCTGTTTTCGATTCATTTTTCTTTTCTGTTCCTTAGATTCTGCATATCGGTGAAATCATATGGTATTTATTTTTCTTTGACTTATTTCGTTCAGCATAATCACCTCTAGGTCATTCCATGTCATTTCGTTGCAAATGATAGGATTTCATTTTTTTGTGGCTGAGTAATACTCCATTGTATATATGAACCATAACTTCTTTATCCAATATCTGTTGATGGGCATTAGGTTGCTTCCATATCTTGGCTATTGTAAATAGTATTGCCATGAACATAGGGGTGCATAGATCTTTGCAAATTATTGTTTTGGTTTTCTTTGGGTAAATACCCAGAAATGCAATTGCTGGTTCAAAAAGTAGGTCCATTTTTAACCTTTTGAGAAACCTCCAGACTGTTTTCCATAGCAGATGTACCGATTTGCAGTTCCACCAACAGTGGGTGAGAGGGTCAGGGGATGGGGAGCACAACATAGAGAATGCAGACAGCAGTAAGGTAATGGCTCTGTGTAGAGCCAGAGGGAAGATAGAGTAATCAGGGGGATTGTTTCATAAACTATATAAATGTCTAACCAATGGACTGTATACTTGAAACTAATTTAAAAAATAAGAAAAATAAAATCAAATGAACACAGAGATAGGATTCTCTGCCATAATCCATATTAAAAAACTCCTTTCAAGGAAGGCTTTTTGATAAATGTTAATCGGAAATTGCATAGAGCATCTTTGCAATTTCAGCTCCTGGTTCTAGGTACCAATTTGTACAGTGATTTAAAAAATATATCTTCACTGTTGATCTCACTGGTGCGGCAAGATGTATAGTCTTAATGCAGGGAACTCGGGTCCACAGACATCCCTCTTCTTGCTTCACCTCTTCCAAAAATCAGTAGCAAGAATTATTGCCACAGTTCCCAGCTACAGGCTCCCCATAGAAGCTACAGGGACTGAGGAATTATATGAAGAGATGAGGCAATCTGTGACAATGGGATTTAAAGATAATGTTGAAAGGAGCATTGGGAGAAAAACCTGTGTATTGCAGAGTGACAGGTATTAAGGAAGAAAGCCAGAGAGGCCTCAGGGCTTTCCTCTTTTTTCCTTTTCTAGTATTTATTATCTTCCCTCTACAAAGTAGATTTTCATATCTCTCAGTGAAGTCATTCTGTGTGGTTTGTAATGTCATTCTGTGTTTTGGCTGAAGAGTCCATTTTTCAAAGAGATTATGGAGCTGTTTTTATTTGTATTTTTAAATTTATATGAAGAAACCATTTTTCGTAGAAAAATTAGGAAATAAAGATAAACACAAAGTTGAAACCAAAAACCATCCATTGTCTAGCCACTATAGTTAATAGATAATAAGTAATGTTAACATTTGATGAGTATCTCATCAAACCCCAGCACTTACATGGCACGCATTATGTGTTTGTTAAATAATAATAGTGACGGCATTCTGTTCGGTATTTTTTTTTTTTTTTTGAGTGCCTTTAAGTGCTGTGCTGGAATTTTTAATTCTAATTGTCTTAAGTTTCATTATTAAAGACTGAATAGCAACTGCCTTCTCTAATGCTCTGTGGCAGCTAGTCAGAGCCATGTCACTATGGTATAACTGCAGAACTTTAATAGGAAAATGATATTGTTGCTCAGAAAATCTCATGACCTGCACTATCTTTGTGGTCATCGAGGGTAGGGGATGTGTGTGACTCATCAGTTGGACCCCTGGCGCCTCTCTGCCTTGTCATCGACAACTTGAAGGTAATCCATCCTAGTTCTAGTTTGGCTATAGCATGATATTACATTTATCGTAACTTTACCTAGTAGAAATTAGAAATGCCTTTTTCCAAGAAATTCCTCAAGAGAGGGTCTGCTTTGTTGATGTAGAATATGCCAGGAAATATGTGACCTAAGTAACAATTCTGTTTATCTGTTTTCTCCTATTTAGGCAGCAATAAGAAAAGAACTAAATGAGTTTAAAAGCACAGAGATGGAAGTTCACGAAGAGAGTCGACAGTTTACAAGGTAGGTAGACAAAATACAGTTTAGGATATTAAAAATGATTACGATGGTAAATTTTATGTCACATGTATTTTACCACAATTAAAAATTTTTTAAAAAAATACAGTTTAGGACAAAGTATGGTTACCAGAGAGGAAGTAGGGTTGGGGGAGAATGAAGAGGGTAAAGAGGGTCAAATATATGGTGGTAGAAGGAGACTAGACTTTGGGTGGTGAGCACACAATGTGATTGATACACAAATGATGTATTTCAGAATTGTACACTTGTAATCTGTATAATGTTATTAACCGATATCATCCCAATAAATTTAATTTTTAAAATACAGTTTAGCATAATACCATCTAATGAACATTTCTAAAATTAAGTCTTTTCTTGTTTTCTTTCAAAGAAGTATGATTCATTCTAAAGGGCTATGTTCTGGTTCCTTTCTTAGTTTTATTTTCTGGGCCAGAAGACAAATTCCAGCATTATTTGTTCTGCTCTTAAAGAGACTCAGGTGAAGTTTTATTTCCAGAACAGATACTGGCGAAAGCCAGTGTAGGCACAAATGTGTCTGCTTTGGGCTCACAGTAGACATAATCTTAGGACACAAACTCAATTTTCAGAGGACATAACTTAGAATAGTAATCTAATTTTCACTGGTGCCACAGAAGATCACTATAATCCTACCATTTTTCCTCTCCCAGCACCTTTCTGTTTCACAGCCTGCTAAAACCAGAAGGACCCTGGGTGACCATGTAGTCTGACCCCACACTTCATAGGTGTTCTGTTTATTTCTATCTCACGGGTTTACGTGCTTTACATTATATAACAGGTGTGTCCCTAAAGTTCTGCATGCCAATCAAATCTTTAAAAATAGAATTGTTAAAAAACATACCAGGACAGAAGATTATGTGTAGAAGACCATAGCAGGTCTTTCTGGAAAACAAATACTGATCCTCTAGCTTAGAAACAGCCTCTGTAAGGCAACCATACATCACGGTGCTTCTGTTTCAGCAGTGGTTCTTGTTGATGGTGGTGTTCCCTACTGGGAAGCATGTCACATGATTAAAGGAGTAGTGGCATCACCTCATGATTTAATAGCAAACCTCTCCCTGCAATACACGGGGCCTACATTGATCTGTAGTTATTGCTCCTGTAATAATGACTGGTGTGCAGAAGAAACTCCCTTTTCGCCTAGGGGTATTTCTTATTTGTTTTGTTTCTTCCTATATCATGTTTATTTATAAATGCATGTATTGCTTTAAGACATCTTAAGTGTATAGATTTTTCTCTAGTCAAAAGGCTTCGTACTATCGTAATTTACTCTTGGACCCATCATATGCCAATATCAAGCCAGATCTATTTGTCTTCTCTTTTTCTCCCTTCTACTTCTGGGATCAGAAAAAGTTCATACTAATATCCGACCCCTTTGGTCACACTTCCCTCATAAAGTTGATAATCGTAAGGTGTCTTGGTATGTATGATGACATCAAGCTGGCTGGGACCTCGGGGCAACTGGAGCATGTGTTCGTGTCATTGAGTCCTGACCCATGAGATGCACTCTCAACGCAGCCTTTCTCATTCAGGATAGTCTTACTTCTGCATAGCTTTCTTAGAAATCATAGTCTCTGGTTACTCATTTTCATATGATCTCAGTATATGAAGAACAAATTATAATAAAAAAATAATAAAAATTTTAAAATGCCTCTTTATGGAAGTTCTCATTTTATGAAAAGTAAACATTTTTACTGGACAAGGTTCTTTCTCTTCTGTTATGCCTTACAAGGAAGTAAGAAGAAAATAGGGTGCAGGGAGAACTTAAGGTCATTTCTTTTTTATATATATATTTTTATGTGCGCAAATAATATATAATCTAATTAACATTCAAACAGTGCAAAACTCTATCAAATAAAAATGAAAATTCCCTTCACTCCTTTCCCCAACTTTATTCCTATTCTCACCAATAACCACTGGTGAAAGTTTGGTGTGGGCCCTTCAAGACATTTTTCTATGCATTTACAAATATATATGTGTGTGCATAGCTATGATATGTGTGTGCATACATGTTTGCATTTGTGTACACCTCGGTCACACACAAACAGTATCTAGAAAATCTTTCCAGTCTACAGCCTTGCCACCCTGAACGTGCCTGATCTTGTCTGATCTCAGAAGCTAAGCAGGATTGGGCCTAGTTAGTACTTGGATGGGAGACCACCGAGGAATACCGGGTGCTGTAGGCATTAAAAAAAAAAAATCTTTCCATATTAGTCCAGATCTCATTCATTTGAATGACTCTATGGCATTTCATAGATAACATACCATAGGTTATTGAACAATTATCCTATTGATGGACGTTTATGGAATTATTAATCTTTCAGTAGTAAAACAGTGCTGCCTTGACTTCATAAATGTATCTTTGTGCACACACACCAATATTTCTGTAGTAGTCCCCTAAGTGGATTTGCTAGGTCACTGGATATGTATGTTTTACATTTTGAAAGATACCATTTAGTGACTTACAGTTTATAAGCATGCCTGGTCTCCTCACTCTCATTTGGGGGTGATGGTGGTGGTGAAGGGTCTATATTCTAAGGAATGAATATTAATATCCTATTTCACTGATTTCTGTAAGGTTGGGCATCTTTACATACCTTTATTGACCTTTTTTTTTATTTTATTCTTTGATTTGCCTTGACTAATTTTTTTTAGGTTGTTTATCTTTTTTTATATGGATTGGTAAAAACTCAGATATCGTGGCTGTTGGCCTTTTGCTGCATGCCAAGATATTTTCCCAAAATCTATTGCTAACATTTAAACTTTTTTATGGTCTTTTGTTTAAATGTTTGCAGATTCTTATTTGTCTGTATTGTTACTTTTGTACTTCATTGTTTTGTCCCGTATGGTGAGAGGCCGAGATTATAAAAGTATTATCTTCAGTTTTTATATGTGCTTTTTTTTTATACTTCGATTTCCATCCATTGGGCATTTATATGTGTGTGTGATTTAAGAGAGTAAAGTACTTTGTTCTAAACCAGTAGTCAATTATCCTAGTGCCACTTATTTCCCCCTAGATGTGAAATTCTTTTTCTTCACACATGGGTTAGTTTCCAGATTTTTTATTGTGTTCTAACAAGCTATTATCTATCCTTGCACTGTGTCACACTGTTTCATTAGAATAAGTTTTTAGTATATTTTTATATCTGATAGGGTACTTTCCCACCTTCAAAATTCTATCAGCTATTTTTCTGTATTTACTCATCTACAGAAATTTAGCGTATGCTTGTTGTTTCCCATAAAATAGTCTATTGATATCTTCATTGTTTAAGTAAATATTGATAGATGCAAATAGGGATGCACCGCATTTCAAAAGAAAATTATAGGCTTTTTTTTTTTCCTCCAGTAACAGCTGATATCAAGGGTTAGCTTTAAGTTTTCCAAAAAACATATTGATTAACACTTTAAAATGTCTTTCCAGATAAGGAAAAATTAAATATTCATATCACCAAGATAAATATGCCTTGCTTAAGTATTCCTAAAAACTTGGCAGTAAAGCAAATGTCTGCTGCTATTTTTCCATTAATTTATATTACATCATTAGACTTGTATCTCAGTACAGAAATATTTTGGCTCTGAGACTTATAAAAATCATGCTTATAGTTTTCAGATTATTTTCAGTATTTCTTTTAAGAAGAAAAAGTTTGTTAAATATTGCTGTATCTGATCAAAATAAGATTTAAAAAGATGATAATGTTTTGCATTTAGAAAATTGCTCATGTAGAAGATTGTGGTGCTCTTAGCACCAGCCATCCTTGGAGGGAATAAACATGCTGTGGACCATTACTTAGCCCTTAAATGCAACCTAGATATAGAACAGCTCGCTTATTAGCTCTTCTTATTAGTGCCAGACATTATCTACTTATATCAAGTAATCCTTCCCTTTAAAACCTAAATCTATTAACTCCCGAGGGATTTGAGGTGGTTAAAAGGGTTAAGACAGTCTTGCTCCCTCTGCCCAGGCACCTCTTTATCCAGAGATAATCTCCCATACAGTGACGTATTCGTCCACTCTGAAAGGATCCATTCCCATATGTAGCTTCCTTTGCTTCCGTATCTCTGGAAAGAGACACAACAAGCTAATAACATTGGTGGCCCCTGGAGAGGGGAGTTGGGTGACTCGGGGCAGGCATGGGACGGATTCTTTTCACTGCTCACCCTTTCGAACCTTTTGAATTTTTGATACATAAAAATTTATTACCCAGTCAAAAATAAACATTTAAAAGGAAAAACAAAGTATCTATTCCCTACTCTTTCAGTAAATGAAGATTTCATCACGATGGCTTTTCTTGAATAATGTGCTGACACTAACATTAATTGTGATACTCTTGCTATTGGTGTACCAAGAAGACACCCATGATGGTTTTTCTTGAATAATGTGCTAGCACTAACATTAATTGTGACACTCTTGCTATTGGTGTGTCAAGAAGACATCTCCGAAAGCTCCATCATGGAATACATTCTGGGACATGTTTGGTCTGTAATGGTGAAGTGTTGTAGTGAGTCATCCTTTCTTCTAATTGCCCCAGTTTCTCGCAGTGTTTTCTAGATAGCTCTCTGAAATTGGCATGCATTCTAGAGCCTTGTAACAAGAGTAAGGACAGGAGGTCCCTATTCACCCTGTGGCCTGAGAAGGTCCAAGCTCTAACCTTGGTTCCTTAGAACACTTGCTGCTTGTTTGGCCACATCCTGTATTTTCTCTGCCTGGCAGCTGTCCACCCATACCCACTGTTCAGAATCCAAAAGGCCATTTGAAGGGCTATGTACTATTAAATGGGGCCCTTACGTCCTGGAAAGAGATCACCATGGCAAAGAAAAGCCACTTCTCTTTCCATGGTAAATGGAATGTCTGCTGTTTAAAATAAGTCTCCAAATTATAAAAGCACATTGTAAGAAAGGTCAAGTTTTACTTGAAAACTCAACTTTAAAATGGCTACAGCTGAGTCGTAAGATTATGGGTAATTTTT